CTCCTCCTCCTGTTGCTGCTGCTGCTGCTGCACCTACGATCGCAACAACCACGACAAGAAGCGAAAGAGGACACCTAGGCAATCGCCGCCGTCGGTGCCTCTGGTCTTTGGCTCGGGCATTCTGAAAGCCACTGTATAAACAAGCTTGTACATCTGGAGCGCTGGAACTTTCAGCTCTTCAGTTTGGGAAGCGGTTTCGGGTAGTTCGGTGTATGTCCTAGGGCTTTTGCACACATATTGCAGGCCCTAACACCAAACCGAGCCTCACGGCTTAACCTGAGTCCCAAGCTCGCAAGCCCGAAGGCCCCGAAAGCCTCAGCCCTTGTTACTTGTGGTTTAGGGTGGCGGGTTTAACACACAGCAACCAAGGTACCCCTGATGGGATATCGCAGAGTCAGGAATCTTCTTGAGTAGCCTCTTGAGGAACATCCAGAGGAATTCAAAGCCGGCACAAGAGAAGCGGCCAAAACATCGGCCTTTGCTTCCATGTCGCTGCCACCGAACTGGTCCAAGTCACCCGGCTCTAATTATTAAGTCAGCGAGGTGCATGCCAGCACGGCACATAAGATCGAGAGTAGTGCCTGCGGTATCGCATGGGTCCAGTGTGTGTGTGTGTGCACACACCATCGCGCAAGCATGTCGGCACGTAGTTATGCTGCGCAGGTTTTTCCATGTGGGGCCGAAATGGCCGAAACACTTGTCAACGCCCACTGCAGACATCTGCCATTGATGCCGGAAAGGTATACGACAGACGAAGGAAAAGAGTGCCCCCGGGAGGACGAACAAGAGTAGCCAACTTTCGCAGCGTGATGCTGCGTCCGGATAGATCGGGCTTAGCTGTTTCGGTCGTGCGTGCCAAAGTACGCCGCCTTCGCAGCAAGTGCGGCTTAATTTGCGGCCGGTGCCGCTTACAGCTTGCTTCTGAGTGGGGGGGCTTGCTTTCGAGGTACTATCACAACTCGTCAACAAACCAGACGCAGTGGGAGAAGCCTGAATGGCCTGGCGCCAATTCTTGATGCAACTGCTGAGACGCTCATAGTGCAATTCAGGCCCTTACTTGTACCATGTTCGATACAGCCTAAGTTTACGAGCATTTGCCCAGTGTCTGCCGTTGTGTTATGCAGACATCACTGATATTCCGTATGGCGCCCTTGCATCAAGGTTCCTGGCAGGTGAAAGGTGACAGGTCCGGAGACAGCCTGAACCATAGCTTTCATAAGCCCCAAGCCCCGAAGCTGCATCCCTAAAAAGATCGAACACCTTTTGTTTTGAGCAAAAGCTCGTTGATCCTAGAAATCTCTTCGGAAGAAAACGTCTGCTTCCGCCTTCTCTGCAAGGTCCACGGGCGCGCCGGAGTCGCTGTCCTTCCACAGCCAGTCCTCTGAAGTGTCACCTGGATGAAACACAAAAGGTGCCTTGGGCATTCAGAGACCTTTTCAGAGTGTTTCAGAGTCTAGGGTTTATAGGGTTTATAGGTGCGTACTGTTGGTGGGTACTTCAAGGCGTTTGGCCTGTGAAGGCGGTTGCTGCTTGTTTTGGGACAGGTTGGGCTGCGGCCTCTAGGATCCCTGCTTTGCGGCTTGGGATGATGTAGGCTTGTCGGATCTTGTCGGTATGTACTGTGAAGACTCGGACCGGGTCGGTCGTGTGTCGCGAACCGGTCGCTCAACCTTAGCTGCTTCGACTTGAAAGCTTCTATCCCTCCCGACCCCGCAAGCCACAAACAGCGTAGTCCTGAGAAGTGCCCTGTAGCCCGAAAACTTGAGTCCTCAGTCTGAAACAGCAAGGTTTCAAGAGCAATCCGGAGCACCACAGCAAGATAAATAGAGCCCGGCCCTCGACCGGCCCAGCCATCAACACCCCAATCTCCTGCGCATAGAGTCCCTGTACTCACCACACGGCCTAACTTAGGGTCTATATAGGGCCTAGGGACTGTTGGGTTCATTGACTCGGAAGCTGAGGGGGAATGGGTTCAGGGCCAGCCCTCTGGCCGAGGTATCGGCCCACAGTTTCTGACCTCGACCTTCATGACCGGGCGACGGCTGGGGGAGGCGAAGTCCCTCAGTAAGACAGGCTTAGAGGGCTTTTCGGCTTAGGCTTTTGGATGGCGGGGTTTAAGGCGGCACCACAGGAGAGGTGACCAATTTGTCGTTTGCTGCCTTCGGTCAACGCACATTGTACCTGTAATGTAGGGGCCTAAATAATTACCAATATTATTTTGGGGGTTCCTTATTATAATTATAGTAGAATGGGCCCCAAAACCCTATTCTAGTTATTATGGCCCTTACAGTACCTGCACATCCTGCACCTGGCGGGCCTGTGCTTCAACTCTAGCTGCCGAACTGTAATGTACATGGCAACGAGCCTGCTTCAGACTGGTGGCTGTAGGTTTGTGGGAGTTTGAGGCCCAGGTTTAGCCCCAAGGATGCAGCGGGCGGACCTCCAAGCCACAGTCCAAAGGTTCTGTAATAGCAGCAATACGTGACTAGAATTATGTTTAAGTTTCAGAGAGATGCGAGACAACGTCGATGACCATTGCAATCATGGAGGGGTCAAAGCATCATCGCATGTGGAGAGACAGGCCGTAGTCACAGTCATTTTCGCGGTCGATATAACATAGGGGCCTTAGCAATTACCTAGACTATTCTGGCGGTTCCTTATTGTAAATTGTAGCAGAATATACCCCCAAATACCCTATGGTCCCTACGCTAGAACAGAATATGACTGAGTGAGTAGGGGGCCCCCAGATCTGAAAAAGTCCTTCAGCCTGGAACAGGGCACCTGGTCCCACTGGGCTCCGGCCACGAGGTGCCTTGGAAGCGCTCTCCTGTTCAAGATTCTTCCAAGCTTTGCTAGAGATTTAGGATTTAAGACCGGAAAGATTCTTTAAAGCCTTGCTTGAGGTTAAGATTTTCAGACCGGAAAGTGTCTCAGGAAGGATGTAGTGCACGATAGCAGATCAATTCTAACAGAGATCTTGGTCCAAGGGCCTGCAGCACAGGGAGTGGGTTAGCCGCTTGGCCGGTGCAGGCAAGAGTGTTGCCAGCTTCGGGCTTTTCGCTCTTTGTGGTATCCTTCCCCTGAAAGCCGAGGAGGTATCAGCTTCCAGCGGACAGCTTGATGCAAGGTTATAATGTGTTCTATCTATGCTAAGCAACTGTGTATCCTGAAACCGCCAACTCTGCATACATCAGTCTGAGTCCACGTCCCACCACTGAGCCCTTATACCCCCTGCTGCTCGAGGCTATCGGCGGCAAACTCGCCACGACCGAGGCGACCTTGGGCTATGTCGGCTATGTCGTTTGCCGCATATTACAGACAGAGCTTGTGTGGGCAGTGCTATGCCGGAAGTCTTTCGAGATCTCTCGCACTTGCGGGGGCGTCAGCAAAAAGATGATGCATGCTTTAAACGTTTTCTGTGGTATCCTGAGCAAACCGCGCAAGACTCTCCCTACATTCCCGAGACTCCATGTGTAAAACAGGACCTAAGAAAGAGATCGAGACTTCAATGGCCATTAGACCAGACGAAAGCCACTTAGCCCGGACATGGTGATGAGGACGCGATGCGAATGACAGCAGTTTGGTAGGACTCACAAGATTTTGGCATCAGGCTGACAGCACCCTCAACCCTACACCCACACAAACCCTAAACCCACAATTCCTTTACCCATGAACCCAAACGAACGCTCGACCCCCAGCCCCCTTCCCCCTCCTGCAGGCCGACACAGTTTCCCTCAGTCCGGGATCCCAAGCCTCCGGTTTGGGGCCGACACAGCCTCATGTTTGAGGGTTCGAAATTCTACGGTTAAACGCGTTTCAGCCCTACTTCAATCATCAATTTGTAGAATTAGTGGGTTTTCGTTTCAAAAGTGGGTTGTTGGTTCTGAGTCTTGCTTGTCTGTGTTGGTTTGCCTTCTGGCATGCCTCATGCGAAGCTGGTGCTTCCTGTGTGTAGAATGCACGGAACAGCACCGGCATGAATACCGTTTAGGCGGAACGGGGAATTGGGTGATGGGCCAATTTTCGGTGGTTGGACGGCATGAAGCTTGCAGTTGGCTCTATTGGCCCGCAGCGTGAGAATACGTCTTGTGCTCTGGTTTACTGAGTATTAGTACTGGTATAATGACTGTGCAATTCAGATCCCTCATTTTTATTGGATATGGAGGAGAAACATTGCAATCTCGTATCGCGCGGCAGGGTCATCAGGGCGCTTCCAGTTCACATTTATTTTCTTTCACACTCAACGAAAGCGTCTAAGCCCATCGAGGGACGTCGCACCGATATCGGACACGCGAGCCAAGACATGTCTTTGGGTTTCAGAGCTTCGGCTTTAAGGTGCAGGACAAACTGTATTTGCCCGTCAGGCTCGTGTATCTTGTTGTGCTATCTGTGTTTATCTGCGTGTTTTGTGTTCGAGTATCTAAATCCATCTACTGGTGTATCTTGCAGCACTGAGGACAGGCGCCCGGTGGTGTGATGGACTCAGCGGGTCCCGCCGCAGGCCACGGTTGACACAGATGCATGTTTTCAGAACCATGATTGAACACAGTAGGTTTATGTTTCTTTGTGATTGTGCTCATATTTGCAAGGCAAAGGAGGCATGTATGTACATGTACATGCATATATAATCATACATATTGCCGAGTTGCATCGCGATGTCCCATGTGCTGGATTTGCAGCAGAGCTGCTCTTTATCTAAATTATCCTCTGGGTTTCGCCACACCAGCACACATCTCACCATGACCATGAGGCGAACCTTCTCGGGCCCCAGCCGACTGAAACCCTTAATTCGCTACCAGTCGTTCGACAAGCCAAAGCCACACTCACCCCCAAAGCTCAGAGCACAAAATCCGAAAAACCTTTTGGGTCTCAAACAAACCCTGTGAGCCAATGAGCCCATGAGTCAACTTTCAGCCGCCCGAAGAGACTGAGCAGTCCGCAGGGGGCGCTCCGACGTCCAACAACCTTCGAGGATTCGGTAGCTGCTCGGCCGCTAATTGCTGAAAGCCACAATATACTATACTATGACAAAAGTATGCTATACTTTACTATGAACTGCTATACTTTGCGATGCTATAATATACGGTCTATGGTTTTTGCAGGTTTCGGGCTTTCCAGGATGAAAGTGTGGGTCCCTCCCCCCTTCTGAAGCGAACATGTGCTGAGTAGTATTCGGGAGACCCCTTGAAGAGGACCCTTCTTAAACCAACTTATGGCTCTTTTAAAGGGACCTTATTGAGGGGCTCTATATCCCCAAGGGTCCCCCTAATGCTAACTCCTAAGGTATGTTAGCCTCTGCTGCGGCAGGATCCGAGGTATCTGGGGGCCGGGCTCGGTTGGGGACAGTTTCCAGGTCGAGGGCTGCAAAGGTTAGATGAGGGGATTAAAGCAGGGGCCTAAATAATTGCCTACACTATTTTCGAGGGTCCTCATTGCAGTTATGGTATACCAATTTTTTTTAGGCCCCTATTATGAAGTGCCTGTGCGCAACTTCTACTTGTATCTTTTGACCATCACGCGAAAGCACCCCCAATCAGCCCGAAACATCCGAAAGCAGAGTCAACGAACACCAAGAACAAAGAATTCCTGACAGAAGGTCCCCCCCCACTTGGCCAACCTTAGTCATTACCAAAGATTCAAGATAGAGGGCCAGTTCCGAAGGGTTCGCTTCGGGAGCTGCGGCACTGTTGAAAAACATCGCAAACATTGGAGTTCATTCTTCAGCATGGAGCAAGCTTCTGAATCATTCCGGAGTATCACCCCGAAAACACCGGGCCCTCCGTGATACAATCTTCCTCTACATGTGTTGTTTTGTTGTCACGAACCTCATCGCAAAAAACAGCTTCGCTGCATGCGGGAGATCAGAGCCTTCAAACTATGCCCACCACAAAATTGCGGGTGCTTCCCTGCATGATGCACCTCAAGGGCATGCTTCGATCTCTGGCAAAGCATCGACACCTTGTCGCGACGTGCTTCAAGTGCTTGTGCTGCCAGTGCTAGCTGACAGAACGTGGTCATTCGTGACCTGATGCTCCTCTCGATCACATCTTTCTTCAGCCCTCCACGCGAATGCAGAGCACTACGCTGAACTCCGTTGCCGTGCCAGGAGGGAGCTGCCGGTGTGCAGGGCTGGGCAGGCCCCCTTTCCACCAGAGTCTCCGGTTTGAACCTGTTTCAACTGACTTTTGCTGTCGGGGTTCGGGCCTTAACGGGGTGCTTCACTCAATGCCTGTGTCTGGCTTCAGAGGGTCAATGCGAGGCGAGGTCGGCCTGTCGCCAGCCTAGGCCCTAGATATGCGCTGTGGTATGGTTTGTTTTCATGCCGTTCGCTGGACTGCCATACGGAATTGCTTTATATAGGATTGCACACAAAGCGAGTCTCGTAGTTGATCCACAAGAAAGACGCTTTCTGGAGTTCTGTTTCAAGACATGTTCTAGTTGATTTCAATCGCATATAGAATGTCAGGCTCCATGCTTTCATACGCGCAGCAGATGTTTGATGTGAGTCACAGCCTGAGTGAGCTTGCGTTCCGGGGTGGGCCGGTAGTTGACGGACTTCCTCAGCGAAGAGGTGTTGGAACTGTTTCCCCCGCCATCTTCAGTGCCAGATTGCGTTGTCAGCTTCTCAACAGAATGCTCCTGTTGAGCAGTATCCGGTCTGCCCGACAGCGGTAATGTTATGCTCTCTGGACCTTCACGGCACCAGGCTCGGAAGACGTCGTCAAGCGTCTGAAGCTTGCTCTCGTGCCTTTCCAGGCCCCTGAACATCTCCGTGTTGTTTTCACTTGGCTGAAGCACATAATGTGGGGAAATGCAAACGTCCCTCGATTGGACTGGGCCAACAATATGGTGGTTTGGATCTGGCATTTGACAGGCGTTGCATTGCCGAGGGACAGAGTAGGCCTCATCGTTGCAGTTGCTTGCCGCTTTGGCCTGTGGATCCCCGTCCTCAGCACACAACATGGGTCCGTGGCTTGCCGACCAGTGCTGTGGCCAGGGACTGGATGCGGCCGCACCAGATTTCCGCACAAGGCACGCCGCTGCGTACTGGCACTGGCAACATGCGGCTTGCAGGATACATCTACATGATGCTCTACATTAATAAACGATAAATACACTATCATGGGCAGATGGGTGGATATGTGTATGTGTATGTATATATATATATACATACACATACTGAGTTCCGGCACAGGCCTGATTTCTACGGGCCTTTTTGGGTCGCCACCACCGCGGTGCTCTTCTTGGCCGTGCCGCCGGCTAGTCATGGGGTATCATCGGGTTCTGGTTTTCGAACAAAATCAAGCCCAAAGTGTACGATCGAGACTTGAAGACGCGTACTTTACAGAGAAATGGAATCGATTTGCCAGGACACACTTTCAGACATGCTTTTACTTGTACATGGTACCGCAACTTTAGTATGCTAGACTGACCAGGGCATAAAGCAGTCTAGTTACAGTGCCATGTCGTGCAGTATTGCACAGCGGACGGGTTTCGGCATGGCATGTTTGGCCACCCTCTCCCTCGTCCTGCGCACTGCTGAGCCCATGAGGCTGTTATTGCATGAGCGCTGCAAGTCTTCATCGTAGCTGTCTTTCAATGCAACTTTGGGAAGCTAGATGCATCAAGGGCAGGCGGAAACCATGTAAGCACACCAGCCTGCATGGCCGACGTTATATGCTCTCGAGCTCTAATTCAGGGGGTCGGGGTGACCGGGGCCTCGAAGGGGGGGCATCATGTCAGGCGACAGGAAATTTCGCGCGGCTGCTCGAGACAGAGGCGGTTCTCGGGGTGCTCCGGGCTTCTGAGCTTTCTTGTTTCAGGTTGAAGGGGTCCAGAGCCATGACTTTTGCACCTCCGACAGTGTTGGACCGTTGGAGGCTTCGGCTAATATGGTACTGTAGGGGCCTGAATAATTAGACCTAGGGTTTTGGGCTTCTTGTTAGTAACAGTACAACAAGGAGCCCTAACAGGAATATTGGTAATTCTTTAGGCTTTTATATTGCAGGATTCTGCACATACAGGATAAGGTGTTCTGAGGTTGCAGCGAGAATCGTAATGTTCAGGATTACACTGTTTGTAGGGCTTCGAGCCTTCCGGGCTCACTGCCCAAAAGAGTGAACCGGATCTAGTTTATGTGGCAACTCGCTTCAGCAACTGTGGGGCACCTGTTCCCACAATGCAGGCAGCGAGACAGCTGTCGTCTGTGTTTCGCACCCGGCCATGGGCAAGTCAAATCTTTCGTCTTGACTTGCGTAAATAGGTTTCGTCTAATACAAACCAGAGAATACCCAAGTCAATTCTTGGAAGTGTCTGAACCCGTAAGTTCTCAAGGTTTCGAAAATTCAAGTCCCGAAGCCCTATCTGCGGGCAGGACGAAACGACCTTCAAGTCCGACTACTCCCTCGTCAGCGTGGCCTGGAGCCCCGATGAGCTCAAAAGTATCCATGCCATGCAAGGTAGTGCACGCCGTATAGCAGGATGGATGTACGAAACATGTATGTTAAGTGCTGCAGCAACAGACAGGGACTCACTGGCTAAGTAAGCAGCTGGCTGGCCAACTATCTAGCCAAGTGGACGCCAGCTGTGAACAGCTGGACTCAGTGAGTCGGCTGGTCAGTCAAGTAGTTGGATAGCTAGCTAGTTACGAGGTGAGTTAGTCGGTTAGCCAGCTGGCTAGTTGCTGCTTGTTAGCTTAGCCAGTTCGCTAGTTCGTTCTTTCATTCGCTAGCTCGTTTGTTAGCAAGCTGGCTAGGTCCGTGAGGCATTGAGGTCAGGTGCCCTGAGCTGCTAAGGCCCTGACCACCTACTACCTAACCAGCTGACCAGCCAACTAGGCACATGTCAAACGCCGGTGCTACTGCTACCTGCATGCAGACAGGCATACCTACATATGTGCCAAAAGACATACACTCGACACATAGTTTCTGCCTGCACGAAGGCTGCCTCGATGGTCTACGGACTCCTAGTGGGCGTCCCACTGGCGACGCGGCTGGGGCTCTACTGCTCTGGGCAGCCGCATGTCTGCAAGGGTTTCGGTGGCTTGAGTTGATCGGTTTAGCGTCTACTCGTACCGGATTTAGGAAGTATGCACATCTTTCCTTTTCGATCGACTCGCCGTAGTCCATATATGCGTGTAAACCTTGAAACTTAAACGGTGCAAGGTTGTGAAACCCCGAGCCAAGACCAATCAGCCCCACGCACATACCCTTTGCCGAGGTCGGTCGATAGCATCAACTTCAAGCAGGTTTTGGCCTTATTGGGCAGTTTGAAGCTTTGGTTTCTGGGGTTCTGCCGTCGGGTTCTCTCAGGGTTGGGGTGTTTGCAGTGCTTTGTTTTGTAGGGTTTCGTGAGATTCTGGTGGTTTAAATTTTAGGCTGGTTTGAAAGTTTCGAGGTGTAGGTTTTGGTTGTAGGGGCTTACGCGACGCTTCTTGCACCATCAGCAAAAATGTGGGATCCTCGCCGGAAGCTTCACCGACAGTTCAATAGGCGCAGTAATCCACAAAGGTTGTGAGCTCGGCATGTTTTGGGCTAGCTGCTATTGCTCGCAAGTTCCAAGGTCATCTTTCCGAGACTTCGTGGGGTCAAGCTTCGAATTCGTGTCAAGATGACTGCTTCCATTCTGTTTGGCCTATGCCCCTACAATGGCTTCAGTTGCCCTGCAATCGTGCAAATCCCAAAACTGTTCTGGTGGCGAGGTGATCTGCGTCTACGGCTACTCGCTGACTCCAATGATTCCCATGTCAGTGATTTGCTTGATCCCGCGTGCGCCTCAGAGGCTATTGTCGTGCCCATGGGAAGCCCACGTAACGAGATCGTTTTGTCCAGATCACGGGAGTCCCAGATTCTCCTACGCGTTTTGTACATATGCACACGCACACGCATCTATTTGTCTGTCTGTCCCTCTGTCTGTAAGTGTGTGTAGTCAGATTTATGGCAAGGAGCGACAACCCAAAACCCCTCTTCAACCAGCAATCTCTACTGGAGCCTCAGAGGGCAAGCCCTGCAGTGTGAGTATCCTTCGAACTTCCTGCCGCTCATCTAAACCCTAAACCCTAACCTCTATAAACCCTAACCCTGAACCCTAACCTTTAAACCCTAAACCCTAACCTTTAAACCCTAAACCCTAGCCTTTAAACCCTAAAACCCTAACCCCAAAACCCCCCAAAAACCCTGAAAATCCCAGGCTCTCCATCTTCCGATGGCTCGCGGTCCTGGCCGGACTCGGGATCTCCTTGGCCCTGCAGCTCAGCCGTTTGGGGGTTTCCGAATTGTTAGGGGACCCTTAAAAGAAGTACCCTAAATAGTAGGGCAGTAGGATCCTTATAGTACCCTTAAAAAAAAGTACCCTAAATACTAGGATCCTTATTATAAGGACCCCCAACGAACATTAGGGGACCCTTTATAGGTACCCTAAATAGTAGGATCCTTATAATAAGGACCCCAAATGAAGGGGTACGGCACCCCTTACGTTCGGAAACTCCCTCTTTTGGGTCGACTATAGGGGGGCAAGTGTTAATATTTTTTGGGGGTGTTCAGCCGGTTGGGGTCGAAGAGAAGGGGCTCAGTTTAAGTACCCCCGTAAACCCTAAACCGTAAACCCTAAACCCACCCGTAGGATTGCCTTGGGGTTCAGCCTTTCGGTCGAACCGAAGCGCCCAAAGAAGTACCAAGATACTATTCCTTAAGGGCCATCCTTGTGGGGTCGAGCACAAAAAGGGCCTAAAGAGGTACTATGGTAATGGTAGTCCCTAGATTTCAGCCTTTTAGGGGTCGAAGATAAGGGCCTAAAGAAGCCCCAATATCATTATTTCTTACATTTCCTTATTAGAGTTAGAGCATCCGGTGCCGAAGTAAGTGTCAATATAGTTATTCCTGGTCTGTTCCTTGTTAGAGCTAGGCAATAATATACCCCGAAACCCTATTCTAATTGTTTGAGGTCTCTGTATTCGGGTATAGGGTTTAAACCCTAAACCCTAAACCCAAACCACGCACATTAAAAAACAAAAAAACCCAGACCACCCTAGACCCCTAAACCTGTGCGCATCGGGAGGTTCTTTCACGGCCTGTTTCCGGAGCCTGCACACGCTTGCTAGAGGGCCGCTGAGAATCGCAAGCCCGAATCATGAGCGGCTATGGCTATGGCTGGTGTACTGAGCATTGCTTGTGACACCATTGCAACTGCCTTCGTTGCTAGTCCGCGCTGCACAGACGAAGGTCTTCCTTTGGGGCACCCTCTCGGCAGATCTGGCAGTCGAGGCCGGATCCTTCTGCATTGACTGAGGGCTGTGAGTTCTTCGTTTTAGGGTTTTCAATCTTCGGCTTTTAAGTTTGTTTCGTTTTCTTTGCAGAGCTTGTGGATTTGGGCCGTTCGGTTTGAGGTGTTTTGGCTTATGGCTAGGGTTGGTGTTGGCTGCCAATCCCAAGGTACTCTTGAAGGCCTCCTCTGACTGTATTGTTGTCGCCGCCTGGACCACCAGCACCAACACGTACCCACCAAGTGGGAGCATGTTCTTGGGCAGAGCAGATACCTAGGCTTCTCCTAGGATTCCTCTGCTTGCCTGAAGCAGGGTGGACTACGGAGCTTCCCTGTCTCACTTTTTTGGTATTGCCAAGTTCAAAACCCTCCTCCGCGAACCCCAAACTGGGGAAGTGTGAGATTCTGAACAGCCCTGAACCCTGAAAGCCTGAAAGCCCTCCAGGCGCCCTCCTTGAAGTGGAAGGTTCTCGGCCTCTTCGCAGCCGCACAGGCTGCAGTTTCATTGTAATGACAATGAGTATACTACCACTTCCACTACAGCTGCCGCTACTACTACGACTGCGACTACGGCTACGATTACGATTACTACTAGTACTACGACTGTTGCTACCACGAGGACGACGACGACGACGACTGTTACTACTATTACTTTTCTGCTATTTCTACATTTGCACTACTTCTGCTACTTGCAACACTACTTGACGACCGTTTGAGATGAAAGTGCTAGGATTCAGAGTGCAGAATCTGGAGTTTTGCATCGTTTGACCCACATGTCTTTGCCTATGTGGCCACAACAGCAGCTGTTATTGGTAGGACTTGAACCGCGCATTCTGTTGCTACATTGACCCCTGCCGACATCCGTCCTTGCCATCAAGAGACAGGATGGTGCAGGGCTTCATGATCGATCATGATGGTGATGACGATGACCTAATTACAAAACAGGGTAAGACGAGATGCATACATCTACAACTGTACAAATAAATTAAGAAATAAATAGATCAATAAATTCATTCATTCATTCGTAGCGATAG